TTTCTCAATAATTTCTCCCTCTAGTGCAAGTGCAAAGAAGCCATGAATCACATCTGTCATTTTCTATGTAAGTTATTTTTACCACCTACTCTAACACAGGAAGGGTAACAGGTGTTAGTTGAAAAATGATGATTAGGGATCTGTCTACTTTAAATTTTTTGTTAGGTGAGATAAGCAACAAAATAGATAGAATGGAATAGTTTTGATCATTTCTTACCAGAAAATTTTTCCAAAACTAATTTTGACTGAAGAAGTATGGTATAACCACCCAAAATTCAGAACTTTCTAGAAAAGAGCTCAAAGAACAGTAGGAAAATCTATGGCTTTGCCTAAGGAAGTTGCTGTGGTCCTACAAAATGGCAAATCATCAGTTTTTCAGTATTATCTTTTCAGGTCATTACAATTCACTGAGATAGCAAGCAAGGTAAATTATCAACAGAGAAATGCCATAAACGCCTCGGAAATGGAGGTGACCTTGGAGCTTGTTCATGACTGACCTGATACCATATCAGAGGCCTTGACTCACCAAGGGCCGCGTCTTGTCCTCTGCCAACCATGAGGCTTGGATGGTAAACACACCAGGAATCTTGTGGAACCCCTCAATTTAAACAGACCACACACACAGACACATGCACACACACACACACACACACACACACACAGAGACAGAGAGACAGAGAGACAGAGAGAGACAGAGATAGAGACAGAGAGAATTATATTGATTTCCCTTGGTTGATACAGGAGTCAGAGATATTCCCAGGCCTTGTGGACTTCTGAAGAAACCTCTCAAAGTATCTAACTGAAGAAATTAGTGGGATTAAGAGGAGAAATGCAAAATTTATCAAGTCTCAAAAAGCCCTGGTGCAGGAGAAGTGATGTTGCTCTATCCCTCAGTGTTAAGCAAATGAAAGCACAGAGAGGCTGATTTCTGCAGCCTGGGACAACCCGAGGATGGCAGGGGCAGAGGAGCGGGCCTGGACATCGGTCCTTCACATCGAGGCTTCAGCCTCCTCTGCCATGCTGTTCCCCTCTTTTTCAGTTCTGGACAAGGGCATGTGGCATTGCTTTAAATTTCTCTAAGTGGTCAGTAAATGAACTGCAAGTCATTCTCAGGCGTATACCTTAGGAATATGATTCATTTTCAACCTCTCTCCAAGTATTTATTTAATTTGCATTTTGAAAAATTGGCTTTTACCACTGTAACTTCCTCTGGTGCTGAGAATGCCCGCAAGCTGTGTATGTTGGTGAGTGTGTGTGGCAGGGGCACCTCTTTCTCTACTTATTATAGAACAGTAAATAGGGAAATAGCCAAAAGGCACGTGGTGATATTTTGTGACAAGGGCACAGGCTATATTTGACTGTGGTTCTGAAAATTTTTTTTTTTAGGTACTGGGGAATCAAACTCATGACTTCAGGCTTGCCAGGCAGGTGCTTATTCCATGAGGTAAATCCCAGGCTCTCTGGAACATTTTTTGTCCTGGTCTATGTGTGGAAAAGGAAAGTTTTGGCTTAATTATCCATCGCTTGCCCATCTTTCCAAGGTCTGGAAATCTCTACGATGTCTGGAGCTGAGACACTCTGCTGCTTAAAGTATCTAGAAATTCTAATCAAAAGTAGATAGCAGAATGAGTAGAGGAGAGCCAGGGATATCACCTCAATTTGTCCCTTGGCCAGTCAATGCCAAGCCTAAGAGATAGGGATGAAATCTCTCCTGTTGTAAACCCCTAGATAGTATTTAAAATCCAGCAGTTGGATTGGGTCACAGTATCTCACCATTCTGGTAAAGTTAAGGACCTAGTTATGAGAAATTGTAGAAGTGGCAGGATCTTAGTACTGGGTACCTGGATGATCTTCTCACCTAATCCAAGCCTCCTAGGAGAGCAGCCCTCCATCCTCAGTGCAGCACGGAGGGTGTAGATCTTCAGCAAAACTTGTTTTTTTGTGGGTTCTTATTGTACACTGGATCTTCCTTAACTTGGGCCTGATTCTGTACCAGTTTAACTTTTATGTGATGGTCTTAGTTCTCGCTTCTAAAGCAATATGTATAAAATCCATCTTCCTGTTCAAGCTCGTATCTTTTCTAGAAATGGAGTTTGATCTGTAGTTTTGCAAACAAAAGACACGTCCTCTGGACAGTTGATCATAGATATAAGACCTGCTTTGTTTAGTGTTCTCTCCACCTTGAAACATAAATAATTGCTTTTTGTACAAAGTGGTCTTAGACCCTCATGCCAGTGGCTCTTTATCTACTTACATTCCTCGGGACTCCCTGTTCACAGAAAGCTCTGTGTATTTTGTGAAACACGCAGAACAGGAGAGGATTGTTACCACTCTGTATCTTCCACGAAGCTGATTCATCACAGATGAGTTTCTTTCTAACAGGTTTGCCATGCAGCCCTGCTGAGTTTCTGGCTGAGTCCATCTTCTGCTGGCTGTGAATGGCAAGATGTCGGTCAAAGGGCTTACGACTCAGGTCTTCAAATACAGTGAGAAATTCTCTTGAAAGGGAATGGAAACAAACACACCAGCAGATACTGCAAAGAAGTGCACTGACTCTAAAGAAACGGCCAGGCACTTCGATTTTGCAAGACATAAGCGGAGTAGTAAGTTTCCCCACAGTGGAATCGATTTACATCATACTCGTGTTCTACCGTTAATAGCATGGACTTTAAGATTGGATTCGGTTCTTCAGCGTTTTGAACTTCAGCGATCTCTTCATCCCTAGATGTCATTTTCTCCAATGTTTGATCTTGTTTTCATTAAGAGTAGGGGATACACTGGCTGTTGCGTAGTGGTCTATTCTCTGCCCCATGGAGCCATTCATGCATCCAGGTCCAGGTCTGTGTCTGGGGGCTTTACCTGCATTTAATCTCGCTCCTCTAAGAGTTATGTAAGTTTCCCTCAGGTTTAGGTTTATGATCCATCTTACAGTTAAGTTTTTCTTTCATAAGATCCCTTTTTGCTGCCACAGGCTGGTCTCGAACTTGTGATGATCCTCCTGAGTCAGCTCTGGATTATGGTCCTATGCCACCAAACCTGGCCTACCTCATTCTTTTGTGTAAGGATATCCAGTTTTCCTGTCCCCAGCTGCTAAGAGACTGTCCTTTCCTACTGAGTTACCTTGGCAACCTCTCAAGTTCATCTTTCCCTAAACGAGATGGTTTATTTCTGGGCTGTCTATTCAATGCCATTGGCTCCCATGTGCTTGTCTTTATTTTAGGGCACATTACTTTTGTTGCTGTTACTTTATAGTAAATTTTAAATTTAGACAGTAACTCCAACTTTAATGTTTTTTAAGACAGGTTTGGCTACTTGGAGTCCTTGATATTTCATATGAATTTTAAGGTAGAGTTATTTCTGCAAAAAATGCTATTAGATATTTCACTGAGGGTTTTATTGAATCTGTTGATCACTTTGGATCATACTGATACCTTAACATACTGACACCTTAACAATATTGTGTCTCCAAAGTGAAGAACACAAGATGTCTTTTCATTTGTGTGTGTGTGTCTTTCACAGTTTCCTTTAACAAGATTTTTCAAGTTTTAGCTCACTAGTCTTTTGCCTTCTTGGTTAAACTTACTGCTATGCATTTAGTTTTACGATACTTTTTTTTCCTGATCTTTCTGTTATTCTATTTTATAGGGAGGGAAACTGAGGCATGGAGCTGTTAAGTAACTTGCACCATCAGTGGTGGTAGTAGCAGTGATATTACCAAATTGTGGAGCCAAGGTTTGAACTCAGTCACGTGCCCCGTCTGTGTCCTTGAGCAGGCCCCTGCATTGTCTTTACAAAAGGAACCAAGCACTCCAGAGCCTGTGGGAAGGTGCACTTTGACTAATTAACAGTGGAAAACCAGGACTATTGTGATTTCTGTTCCCTCTTCTCCGTCTTCCCCAATTACCTTTGTCTAGCAGTTTATGATGAAAGGGAGAAAAAAACTTGTAAACAACCATCCTCCAGCTCTCAAACTTTAGGAACTTGACAGAAATTTATAGCCCATTCTTTTTAGAAGCCCCCTTTTCCTTCCTTTCTAAACTGAGCTGTAAATAGCTCTAATCTACATTTGTTCTTTTCTTTTTTTTTTAAATTGTTTTACATTTTAATTCAATTTCCTACAATCATTTCAATAAATAATTGGAAACTGGTTTGGAGACACAGCAATAGATCCTAAAACTGTGCTTTGTAGGAGCAGCCCTAGAATTCCTTTATTATGGATGTGTCTGGATTGTACAAGGGTCTCTTTGTGTAACCAGCCTCAATAAAGTGATGAACAAAACAGAGGTTTCATTTGGGTCTGGCGCAGTAGCACTAGCTGGATTCAGAAGTGCGACATTAATTTCATCGAATTTCTTGTGCGCTCTGTTATCAATAGCTTGAAATTGAACAGGGAAATAGGTCTAACAGGCCACCTGTTTTATTGGATCTGGGTTCTAAGGACTTAGTAGAGAAGTCCCGAATGAGAGTGCTGGGAAGCTATCTGTTCTCTGTGCAAACCATGAAGAGATATTGGAGGAAAAAGTCCCAACTGTTCCTGGTCATTATTCCTAAATATTCCCCTGTGCCTCCAGTGTCTGTCCCACTGCCCTGCCTCCATTCAGATCCCCACCGTCGTCTGTCTAAATTACTACTGGAGCCTCCCGACCGCCTCACCCAGGCTGGGCTGCTTCACTGGCTGTGTCACCGCTGGGCTACCTTCTCTGAAAAACATCTCATCAAGGATCTCACCTGGACACACTTCCTCTAGAATTATTCCACTTCCCCTTTTCCCCACCTCCCTCCACTGTATTTCTTTCTTCATTTTCTCTAGCTAAGCTTACTTTGGGACACGTTTGTCTCTCTTGGAGCACTTCTGTATCTGGCGGATCAGTCAGCGTCTGCACAGGAAAATGAAACTATGTAGTTTCAGAGAAAAAGAAATTGAATGCCGGGAATCCGTTACGTCAGTGATGGAAAGCAGGCAAGAGAGATGAGGTGGCTCAGGGATGGCCAAGAACAAGGAAAACTGCCGTCTGTCCCTAGGCGTCACCTCCACAGGGAGGTCATGGCGTTATCTGAACTCAGAAGCAAGGTAGATGCTAAAATCAGTGCAGGAGCTGGAGTCAGGGCTTAGAAATCTTAACGCCATGGAGGGCATTCAGCCACTGCTTGGGCACCTGCTGAGCACAAGGAAAGAGAACTGTGAATCTCAGCTTTTTTCCACTTGCCATCCAGTCTCCCCGTTTCTTACTGATTCTAGAGAATCAAAGGCCTGGGAAATGTGGTTTCCTAAGATATGAGGTAAGACGGAAAAGGTAAAGTGACCTCATATGTAACTAATTCCTATGTTTAAGGATTCAACTTCCATGTACCTGCGAAAAGCTTTTCCTGATATTTGCCTAGTGTTTAGCAGCGGCCTGCTCCTGAAACTCCTCGCCTGTTATTATAGATGCTCATTTCAGCATTGATTGGTTCCTCAGCTAAGCTGTAGCCTGCTGGCAGGCACGCCGCTCTCCCAAAGTGACGTAATCTTAAGTGTTTGTGGAAGGGAAACTGAACTTGGTCAGTCTACCTGGATCCTGTACCAGTTTACACTCACAGAATCAATAAGAGTGATTGTTCTTCAGTGTTAACACCAAACAGGATAAGTATGCTGCCTGATCCTTGTGAAACCTGACAGCTGGAAATGCATCTTAGTGGAACTTTTATTGGTACCCCTCTTGTGATGAATGAGATAACCATGTTTCTCTCTTGAAGAATCTGTAGTGACTGATTAGATCCTTTGATTTTTATTTTTCATTTGTTTGTCAATCTTGGTCATACGAACTTATATATCATATGAACTGATCATATGAATTTTTTATATATTAAGGAAATTAGCATGAATTAAGAATATTATGTTCATAATTTGTTGTTCATGACTTTGCTTATTATAGTTTATCAGGAAAAAATTTTCAGATTAGTGATTACTTTGTCTTATGGCTTTTGATTCAATATGGGCTTAGATTCATACTTAGGTATTCCTCGTCTTTTGGAGAGAATACATATATGTATATAATTATATAACATATTATATGCATATAATTAAATTATATAATATATATAACTATGTATATTCTCTCCAGAAGATGAGAAATTACATATAGTTATATTATAATTAATTATGCAATATAATATTATATGTTATAATTAAATATAGTATAACATAATTATAACATACAGTATAACATACCCTATTAATTATATAGTATAACATATATTATAATTAATTATAGAATAACATAATTATAATTATAATTATAATTATGTAATAATTATAATTAATTATATAGTATAACACAATTATATATAATTAATAATATATATTTTTTCCAGAAGAATATATTATAGATAATATAATTATATATAATAAATTTCATATATGCTCTCCAATTATATATACATATATTCTTTCTAGGAGAAGAGGAATTATATATATAATTATATATTTTATATATTTATAATTAATTATAATGTATAAAACTATAATTAAGTATATATAATTAATTATAACATTTAATAAATTACAAATTATATAACTATATAATATAATATTATATAACCATATAATATAACATTATATAACTATATAATATAATATAATATTATATAATATAGAACAATATAATATATAATTATATATGTTATATGGTTTTCTTTTCCTTTTAGTTTCATGTTTGAATATGTGTGAGTCTGGAATCTATTTTAATACAAAGTAAAAGCATAAAATTTTTTCTTTCTCTCTAGTTGTCTAAGCACTACTTTTTTAATAGTGCATTTTTCAAGAATTTCAAACATTCCCTTTATCGCATCCTAAACGTGGACTCCTGTGGCTTTGGTTAGGGATCTCCTTTGCAGGTCTCCCACGTGTCTGTCTATGCAGCTCCCTTTACAAGTTAAAGCTTATCGTGATAAACTTTGATTGCAGTATTCAGATGTTCTGGTTAATGTTCGTTTAAAATATGTAACAGCAAAACAAATAATAACAATATGAAAATTTCATGTTAGTGATTTCTAATGAAACCATGAAGACATCTATAAAATTAGATAAATAGAATTGGTGCCTCCAGATTCGATAGAGCAGCTTGCTAGATGGTATCTAACCATTTCTTTTCAGCAAATAAACTATGGTGTATTCACAAAGTGGGATTTATGTAGCCATGAACAAAGAGAGGGAGCCACAGCAACACACGTCAGCAGAATAGATCTCATGAGCAGAACAGTAAAAGGAAGAAGCTAGTTATAAATAAACATAAATAGGACAATTCTGTTTATACAAAGATCAAAACTAAGAATGCAAACTTCGGCGGCATTTTATAGGGATATATATATATTGTGCCATTTCTAGGAACAATAAGTAAAAGCAAGTTAATGCCACAAAATTCAGGATTATATTAGTAGAGGAAGAGAGAGGTAGACGTGATCAGAAAGAGACAGAGCTTGGGGTCCTGGCACAGGCCCGAGCCTGAGGTCTGTGTGACCAACGTTAAGTGACTGACTTTGGGGTAGCTGCTCCTTGAACTTCATACACACATTTTAAAAGGTAAGTTTATTGGTACAGCTTAGATATACATAAAGCTCACATTCATCATAGGGAATTTATACCAATATGTGATACATCTTGATTCCTCTTTTTCCCATTCACCTCTCCTCCAGTTGTTTCCATTTTATATTTTCTCATGTTTTTACTCCAGTGGAATTTGTTAATTCTAGGCAAAAGCTACAGACTGGGCTTAACTGGGGGAAAACAGAGCTGTGGCAGGACAAGGCAGAAATCCACAGGGGCACAAATGGACCATAGTTCCATTTCCCCTTAGGATTCTTGCTGGGTTCTGGTGCTGTGTGACACCTGGCCGTGTAGGATAGGCGATACCAATGGGCACCCTCTCAGGGTCTTGTGCTTGGGGAAGAAAGTGGGCATTAGCCTCACCACAAAGCCACTCTGCCCCTCAAGTCCTCTGGCAGATTTTGAAGGCACTAGGCCAGTGGGGAGGGAGAGCTAGGCTTGAACCTGTGTAAGGCAGGGCTGGATCTAAGTCTTTCAGTGCTGAGAACATGGAAACCGTTGAGCTGTCAATCAAAAGGCCAGAGGTCCAGTGCTGCCCTTTGAGGCAAACTGGAAATGAACTGTCCCTTACTGCACTGCAGCCCAGCAGGGACCCATGGAATTTATGACTGAGCAGAACCTCATCTGACCTTACAGAGGAAAGGAACCATACTCTCTGTTGGAAGCTAATATCTCAAGTGGAAATGGTTCTTAACACATCTTCTAGAAAACAGTTCTAAAAGTATCTGGAACACAGTTTAGAAACCTATCACGCAATGAAGTAATAACAACTGCTTGATAAGAGAAAAACCATAGAAGAGCCACAGAGATACGGGTAATATATTGAGAACAGACAGGTACTTTATTAATGCTGTGACTATTATGCTGAAGAAAATAGGCCAACAAGAACAAAATCAATGCAAGTTTAGGTAATTTTAACAGGCTGTTGTGGCTTCTGGTAGATACTCTCCCAAAGTCTCATGAAGACACAGGTGGAATGATTCAGAGCTGGCTGATCTAGAAGGTGTGAGGCTGGGATTAGGAGCATGTGATTAGTAAAGAAGCCCACTTATTGGCTTGGTATGGTTTTGAGGGTAGATGATGGGAGCTGTGGGTTTGAGTTCTCCCTCCCCTAAGACCATGTGACCTAGACAGAGCATAAGGGACAGGAAAAGGGCTGCTATTGCTGCTTGTAATTTGCTGCTGCTTTGGTCCCTTCTGCTTACCATGAACTATTTCTCCTTGGAGCTAGATAACTATGCACTGAAACCTCTCCAAGCTGTGAGCTACAATAAACGTTTCCTCCTTTAATTTTGGGTGTCAAGCCTTTGGTCTCAGCAATGAGAAAAGTAACTCGGAAATAGGCCAAGTCTATAAAAAAGAAATTAAGTGGCTATTTTAAAACATAGTAAATCCCATACAAGATAGACACCAAGAGGCAGAATGCACTCAAATTACCTGCGTCTGAAAACCTTAAAGTGCCCAGAGGTGGGGGAAGACCCATTCACTCTAAAGGAACAACTGTATAATAAAGCTACATGTCACAGTCTCATCAGAAGCAATGAAATCCAGAAGGCATTTGAATAACACTTTCCGAAGGTTGCAAGAAAACAATGGCCAATCTAGAATTCCATCTCCAATAAAAGCATCCTTCAGAAGTGAAGGTGAAATACATATTTGCAGGCAAAGTTAGACCATGGGAACCAGCCCAAACCAGACTGCATTAGGAAACACAGAGCCTGAGCTTCAGATCTAAGGAAAATGATTCCAGATGGAAAATGGAAATGTTGGAGGAAATCAAGAAGAACACAATGGAAAAATAGATGGAGATTTAAACAAACGCTGACTGCACAAAACAGTAATTTTAATGTCTGGTGTAGTTTCAGTTATATGCAGAACCAAAAGTGTGTGGCAGTGATAATGTACCACTGTTAGTAAGTGGGATGCAAAAGTTTCTGGCGCTATCAGAAAATCAGTAATAGTAACCATTTACATTACTACTCTGAGAAGCAATGGGTGCCTATTACGATCACTAATGGATAAGACAGTTTAAAGTGACAAAGTTAATAGAGGGAAAATTGAATGGTAAATAGTGATAGTATTGTAAGAATCAATAGTAGACAAACACGTAACAACTCCTAGAGCATAAAATTTGAAAGTAAAAGAATGGGGAGAGATATAGAACATCAGCAAAAAGAAAGCTAATGAGTCTAATATCAGACAAAACATATTTTGCAACAAGAAAACTTACTAAATCTAGAGCACCATTTTACCATGATAAAGTGCTAAATCTAGGAAGAAAGAAATTACGGCTCTAAATATTCATGCATGCCAGAAACATACTCCAATGTATATAAAGCAATATAGACCAAATTATGTGATGAAATAGATTCAGAGTCATAGTGGAGGTACTACACTGTTTTCAAAAGTGAATAGAAAAGGCAAGAAATGCAAGAAGTAACAAAAATGCTGGAAAATAAAAACAAGATATAAATATATGACACATTTGAGACGATCACCAAAGACAAAAACTTGTAGCTAGGGAAGAAAAGAATAACACAGTCAGCAAACTTCTATAAGAATGACCAAAGAAAGGAGAGAAGTCTCAAACATAAGTACTAGTGACCAAAGGGGATGTTAAAAAGGGATTCTAGAGCTGTTTAAAAAGAAGAAAATGTTATTGTAACCCTATTGCAGCAATTGTTTAATTTGGATA